GATATATGTGGGATTGCAAACCAGTTCTATAGAAATTTTTCTTTTGGTTTAGACAATTATTGATGTCAATTATAAACCCCTCTAATGGTCAATTACAAGTTAATTCTGTGCATTAAATCAGTGCATTTCAAAGTTTCAAGAGCACTTCTTTCCACTTTTCCTCCAGCTTGTGTTCTCTTTGATCTTTTTGTACTTGAAGGGACTAGGTACCAGCACCTGAACCTCCCTGTTTTTGGTAGGCCTTAATAGCTCTTTAATTTCTTCAGTTGTACTAGATTATGTACTCCAGCCCTCTTAACGTGCTGTGGTGTTTACATGTGGAACAAAGGCTCCACAGCAGTCCAAGGTGGTAAAAATTTTCACTTCTCCTACCTGAACTGCATGTTCCATCCCTCTGCCTTCTATCAGTGCCAGCACAGCTTTCTCTAAGACACTTAAGAAGGCCTTGAAACCGTAAGAGCACATTGTGGTGGTGCTTTAATCGTACTTGTGGAGCTTATGGATCTCTATGCTTTTAAGGACTTTTGAAGCTGACTGGTAAGTATGAGATTGTGGATGATTTTTCTAGGTAGTAAGTGGTGTTCTAGCGAGTGAACTTGTCTCAGCTGAAGAGTGAAGTGCCTGATGCTTTTCTAGCATTTCTCGCTCAATCATTCCCAAGTGATGTTTTTTAATCTCAAAATAGTTCAGATAAATAATCACTTCCATGATTACTGTGCAACAGGGCTTCAATAAACTCATTTTGTTAAACCTGTTAAAAGCTGTGTAAGTTAGTTCATTTGGAATTCAACACTTCATTCTGGAAGCATGTCCAGAGCTGATTTAAGTTTCTTGTGGCTTGAACCAGTTTTCTTTTGAGAGTAGTATTTTTTCAGCTTGCTGGCAAAGTAGGTATAAAAATAACCACCATTCTGAAGGCACTGAAAAAGTACCAAACTTTTCCTACAGGTATTTAATCTCATGTAGTTATAGAATCATAGAATAGTTAGAGTTTTTAGAGAATATTGTTTTACCTATTCATTTAAATCCTTTCAGTGTAGTTTCTGTTCATACCCTTATGGGAGAACATTTAACTAAGTAACTTTTCAATAACATGAAACTAAATTTAAAAGTATTTTATTGCTGTTCTGTTCACCCAAGTATGACTCTTAAATATAATTTGTTATGCTAAATGGATTATAAAAGGATTCAGCAACTGTAACTGTCACGAGTCTACTGAAGACACAGTTTGTTTTAAAATTGTCTGAAACAGAAAAGCATGTTGTCAGCAGTAAAAGTAAGGGCTGGGGGGAAACCTGTGGTGCTCAACCACACACTGTGCATCTCCCTTTCTTTTTTTTTTTTTTTTTAAGAAGTGGTGTAGTTTGGGGTTGGAATTTTTGGGGGTTTGGGTGTGCTTTTTAAAACCCACATCTTTTGCTGAGACCCTCATATAATTAGCCAAAGAACAAAATTCTCTTTCTCTTCTGACACTTATCAGTTGGTATGGCTATTGGTTACCTGAAATCTCTTGGCAATAATGAATGAGATGAAAGTCATATTTTAATGACAGCTTAACACTATCCTGTTAAGCTGTCAATGTCACTGACATGTTTTTATAATTGTCACTGTAAATCTGAATTTTCATTTCGATTTATTGAGTTAACTTAAATTTGTGTATTTGCTTCTCAAATGTCTTAAAGCCAGAAGTAGAGGAAACAATGGAAGGAGGAAAATAATAAATGTCTGAATGGTTTGACCACAGGTATTTCTAGTTCCCTTCCACAAGTCTGTTTAGCATTTAATTCATATTTGAATAATTACTTCTATCTAGTATTAGCCAATGGCTCCCTACTGTTAGTCACAGCACTTAAACAGTGACTGCTGCTGTAATATAAATAACTGTTGTCTTTTTCTAGAAGAATCTTAGGTAAAATTTGTCATATTTCTTTTCTTAGGATTTTGTGAAAAGCGAGAAGAAAAAAAAAGCAAAACCTGCTGTGACTAATTCCCTTCTACAAGCAACAAGAAAATGGTTTGATTTTATTCTATTTCTGAAGTTAGTTTGGCCTTTTCTGTAAAGGTGGGCTTGTGAAAGGAGCAGACATATGCAGCAGTATCTTCTCTTTATCTATGTACTCGAATAGGATTCTAAACACGTTGTCTTCCCAAACTCAATAAACTAACCAAAAAGAGTAAGTCTGTATTTACCAAGAATGTGTACTAGCTGCACTGTACAATCATTGATAGGGAATGACCTTTCATATTGAATATTGAACATACTATTAATATACCTAATGTTATAGGCAATGCCTTTGAAGTAAAAGCAAGGTTTATTTCACCTATATGCATGAAAATTGTGAGGATTATTTTAGGCATTACCAGTAAACTGGGTAGGTTCAGAGGAGGAGTAGCGGATACATTTTCCCCACCAGTTTTCTCTTGTTTTAGTTATAACTAGAATAGCTGGTCTAATGAAATTGCCTACAACTTTGAATTATTTTTTTCTTTAAGAAACTGTTTTCTATATTTCTCATGCCCTTAAATGTATTTTGTGAAACTTTGACAATGTTTTTTAATTCTGGGTATAAAACAAGGCTGTTTATATTTTTTTGTTGTGGCAGGGTCATTAGTACAGTGAACAGAGGTGTCAGTAGGAAAACTCAGAATGTCAGCTTGAGAATAACATTATGGTAAAATGGAATTAAACTTTAAGATAAGTCAACTTGCAACTTAAGCAATGCTCTTGTATTTTTGTACAGATGTCTACTATACAGCTTAGAAAACCATACCCCTTAAGAAAGCAAGAATCCACTTCAAGTAAAAACTCTGCTAAAAAGAAAGATGGAAAGCTGCAAAAAATTGGAGATTTCTTCCGAAGTTCTCCTACTATTATTCAGCCTAAAGGTTTGTACAGAACAAGTAAGTCTCGTTGCATATTCTCTGGGCATTGCAGAATAGCTTTTTTCTACTGTAACCTATTAATACATATACTGTTCAATGATAAGTCTGCTTCATTAAGTTGCTGTTTTGTTTATGAAATAAAGGAGTCTGAACTGGGGCCTGCTATATTAAATCTTGCAGAGTAGAAAAGGCTGTCTTGATTGCAAAGACCACATGGTTATCAAGTTTACGTTGTGAAAGGTAAACTGGATGGAATGAAAGGATGCAGTGTGGAATATATGCATATAAATTCATCATAAAAGACATAACTGTGAAGCTCAACATGTTGGAGTTACTTTGGTTTTGCTTACAGTAAAACAGTTAAGGGCACTTTCAGGGACTTGTCCTGCTGCTCTAAAGAGAAAAATAAAGAGCTGAATCCAGATTCTAAATCTTACCTTGCTCTATAAGTGATCCCTCCTTACCCACACCCCACCTCCCCACCACTTTGTTTCTGTGGAAACTGTATTAATGCTTTTCTTTATGTACATATATGGGAGAAAAAATTTAGTTCTACAGAACCTAAAAGCTGGTGTCTTATGAAAATATTTGGAAGACTTCAAGAAGCTGACTATGAAGCGATTAATGGATTTCACTAAGTTTAAACATAGCCTTGGGAAAATTAACTGCTGGGACTTTCTACTAAAGAACATGTTACTCTTTCCTGTATTAAAACAGAATTTCTGAGTTACTGTGTTTAAAACAAAAATAAAACTAGCAGTGTGCACAAGGAATTGCCTGTGTTGAATTCTAAAAGACACAATTGTTTGGTTAAAACCAGATCAGTTGTTATTCGGTGTGGCTGGTTAAAATGCAGATCTCTATACCAGCTGAAAAACTTGACTTGCTACAGAGTACATCTTACCTGCTGTAAGACAGTCTAGATGGCGATAGTGGGATTTTTAAAACATTCCAGGCTTGTCAGATTTGGCTCCATGAGGACAACATTGTCATCAATGTAAGCCAAATTCAGGTTACTCAAAATTCCACCCTGAAAATACTTAATTTGGGCAAATGAGGTCTAGTTTGTAACCTTTATTATGTCCTGTGTTTTTCTCTTTTACGTAACTTGCTATTGTTCAGGATTTCTAGCTCATAATATGCATACAGTCATCTCTTTATAGAGCTAGTCCTGCCTTGGTAAAACTACAGAAATATATACAGAAAACTGACTCTACCCTGTGCTCCTGTCAGCACAAAGAAGTGTTAAGCCTGTTGTTCAACTTCTTTGGAATTGTTTATTTTCCAGTGAAATCTGACTCCTAATTGATTTTAAAGGACACCTTTAAATAGCACATTAAAGCTTTTGCACCTGAAGCTATGAAAAACTTCTTCCAGCCACAGAAAACTGTGGTAGTCAAATACCACATCTGAATTTTTATATTTAAACTTCAGACAATATCTCTTTAATTTTTAAGTTATTTCTAGTAAAGCTTGCTTTATTCATTAGGTTTGAGGTTTACAAACACAGTAAGACATTGATTTATGATTAAATATTTTCGTCTAGCAAAGAAGCTGATTGCAACAATAAGCTCTCCTAATGCTGCAGAACCAGAAAGCCTAAAAGAAAATGAGCTGAAGCCAAAATGAGCTAAGAGAAAGCTGTATTCAACTGACATTTCTTGCCCTCTAGATATCCCTGCTTCTTCGGTGATTACAGGTTACTGTTCTGTCCACTGTGATCTACTTCTGTAACTGTGATTTAAAATACGCTATTAGGGGGACAGAACAAATCTGAAGGTCTAACCAAGTTGCAGAAGAAGTTTGAAAATACTTATTTTTTTATTCTACCTAGCCATTGCTTTTGGCCTCTTCTTCCTGCTGTTTTACTCTCACCTGTCCATAGATTTGGAATAGCGTAATTGAAATACTAAAGCTACAAAAGTCTGCAAATACAATTAGCTTTGCAGGGCAAGTGAGCACCAACGGTAACTTCCAATTCCATTTATGCCCAGCTGATATTTGTTACTGTAGGATGATGGTACATCCATGCTTTTCAAAGCACAGTTTAGATAGCCGCCTGTGTGTGCTTAAGTTGTGTTGCCCTAAGTCAGCCTAGCACAAATCTTCTAGGCCAGAGCTTGATTTATGACTTCTGAAATCCATGTAGATGGTTTTGACAGTAACTATGGTTGCCCATAGCGAGATACGTATGCTATTGAATTTTCTGTAAATAGCCTGAATAAATACAGCAGAAACGAAAATGTTTTTCACAGGAGGGTGAAGAAAATGACAAGTGCAAAGCAAAAGAAGCTAAGAAGCTTGGAAGTAAAAGGGAAAATGACAGACCAAATTCCAGGAAAGCGGAGATAGCTGTAGGAAATTAAGATAAAAATGTTTTCTGAACACTTCCTGTTTCACAAAATGAGTATTAGAGTTTAGAAGTGAGAGCTGGTTTCAGATCACATTTTGCTTTGGACTTTGGTATTTGTTTCAGTCAAAAAAAAAAAAAGTGATTTTGTATGTCCCTGGTATTTGTCACTTATTCTGATGTAATAAAGGAGTTTTTCTGTACCGGGGACCTCTGGCTAAAAGATAATAAGGAAATTCCATTCTGAAAACAACTTCTGGGGAAAAATCAGGCTGCTGATAACATGGTCTAGAAGTGCGTGTAATTTGACTCTGAAGAAATGCTGAGTAACCCTTGAAATATAATCTCTTTCAGATTCTTATAGAACAAAAACAGAAGGAAAGCGATCATCTAATCATCAAGCGACTGCTTCGATCAAAACAAGCCAAATAATCTTGCAACAGCATGTTTGTATTTCCTTGGTTAGGTCATATTTCTACTGTATTATTTCGGTTGATTGTACATGGGAAGTAATAGATACTTCATTATGCTCTGAATTATGTATATAGATGTGTAGAATTGTTCTGATGTTAATTAATTTTTTACTTCATTAAAACTGAAATGCTGTTCAAGAAAGCTTGTGTCTGAGTCCATTTTTTATTTTTTTTTTAAGGCATGGTGTCCTTGGAAGTGTTCATAATTTACCCATTGTGCAGGAAGTACTATGCCTGTGCGAAATGGTTGCCGGTATATCTACGATTAGAAAAAATTGACTACACATCAAAACTTGTATATGGCTTTCTTTACTCTTCTCCGGTAGATTGTCTGAGCATGAAATGTTTCACTGTAAGTGAAACTAATGTGGCCTATTGTGTACAGGGGGGTTGTACAGGGGGGTTAGACAGAATGTACGGGAGGGGGGGTGTACAAGGGGTACTGCTTAAGTCATAGCTGGCTTGACAAGCTCAGCAGATGCCTTATCAGGCAGTACTAAGATAAAACTTCCTAACAAAGGGAATAGCTCATTAAACCAGTTGGACATAGACCAGACCCATCCAGCTCCTAAAGAGCATGCGTGAGGACCAGAGGTAAAAAGTTCAAGCCTGAGGCAGACTCATTTACTTCATCTTGAAGACCCCTACCCACAAGAGGAAGACTACTTACTTCATCTGAAGACCCCTGCCCAAGCCCACCAGGAGGCACTGCGCATGCGTGGAGAGCCTTTTAGCTCCTTCTAATACAAAGCGGGGATAGAATATGAATATGTATAGGCGTATTGTGCAACCTAATAGATACGTATGACTTCACAGGATAAATGTAAAAGAAAAATGGCACTGAGGCACGCATGCCTTTTGGAGGACCAATCCCCCGTGCGCCTTCAGCTGAATAAAGCATACCTACTTTACAACTTCAACGAAGTTGTGGAGTCTATTCCTTTATCAGTAAGGATAACGCATAGTTCAGTTCTGTAGATCCTGATTTGCAAGATCAGATTCTCATACTAAGTTGCTTCTCCAGTTTCTTGACTGTGAAATGGAGTTGTACCCTTACACTCTTCCATAAAGAAATATTGATGGTTTGTTTTTTTTTCTAACTTGACAGTGACAAAGTGAGCCTGATTCACAAATCTTTCACCTCTTCCATTTCTTCAACTTTTTGTTTCATCTTCTGTTTGTGTGAGTGTGAACTCAGATTTCCTTTTTGTTAGCTCATGTTTGGTATTGCCATTTTCTTCCCTCTTTTCATTCTAACAGAAAAAGGTAAAATCCAGGTATGGTCAGATAGTTGTAAATAAAAATAAATGCAGTGTCACTTAATAACTCTTCACAGGTAGGATTTTATACTTTAAATATTTTGTCTTTCTCCAGATCTCCTGTCTTCTGCTATCTGTAGTCCAGATACCTGGAGAGATCTCTTTCAGGGCTCTAGAAGACACCAGTGAAGATTGTTACCTGATGTAGATGCAAGTTGTTCACTTTACAGAAATCTTTTATAGATGGAGGCAGGAAATGTGCAAGGTGAAGGTGACCCTGGCCATTGCAGGAGGACTGCAACTAGCTGATCTTGAAGATCCCTTCCAACCTGAACCATCCTGTGCTTCTATGATAAAACAGTCTTAAACATTGGGACAGTACTTGGGATATTTATTCTTTGCCTTAACATTTTGTCTGGGGGTTTTCCCATTTTTAACAGATGTTCTTTTTCAGTCAGCTTCAGTCTTGACCCTTAACTTTCTTCTGAGTAGTTTCAGTTAATTTTAGAACCCATCAGCATGTGCCTGTTTACCTGGATTGATCCTTCCATTGTGTACAACCTTGCACTTGCCTGCAGTGAAATACATATGCTATCATGTTGCCTTGAATGACAGGTTGATTGCTTATCGTTAAATCATCAAATGGACTTACAGCTCTTATTTAACAAGAAAACATGCAAGGTAAATGGAGATTAGAAGAGCACTGAATTACTTGATCGTTGCCGATATGATTTCTTTATTGATCTAAATGTGTGGAAAGTAATAGAAGTATCTTCAGCTATTTCATGTAACTGAAATTGCTGCTAGTGTTTATTCTCCTTGTCAAATATACAATTTCATAGTTTCAACTACTATGTGCTTCTTCCTGATTTCATGGTTAACTAAGTGACAAAATTGCTTTGATTACTCTGGTAAATTGCAATTTATCTGTGCAGCTAACTAGGAAGTAGAGTCCCTCAGTATAGTCAAGTCAGTGACATTCAGGAATGCTACTGCACTTGAGCTGTATTGCCAATTTGTCTAAGCTCTTATATTTACTAAAATTTCGGCAGTGTTGCTGAGCTATCTAAAGGCTATGAAAACTGTTTTTTTCTGGAAGCCATTTAAATGGGTGTCTTCCTTATAACCTGAGCACGAGAGTAGCTATATATACATGCACGAAATTTAACTTGTTCATTTTTTGTCCTAAATTAGCCTTTGCATTTGGAAGAGCCATACTGAATTAACTTCCTTTGTAGGTGTAGGCTTGGTTATCAAACTCCATGGTTACAAATTTTTAATACAGAAATAAAGCATGTTCCCTTTTGTTTTGATCAAGGGACTGTGGTTTCTGTACTTCCTACAGTTGAAGTTTGAGCCTTAATATGCTGGTAGCCTAGAGAATGGGTCATACTTTGTGTATCTCCTTTCTCCATGTCAGGATTTCCAGTTATTTCCTGAGCAGAAAGGGAATAAAAATATAATCCAAGAAAGGAGCATATTCACTTCTTCAGAAAGAATGGAGTAATGGGATTACTTTTTTTGTCCTCCTAGTTGAGACTGGGGCTAGCTCTGTACTGTTCTTGTATCAGCTCCTCTGAAGAACAAAGCAAAAAGGTGTTTTAGGACTTTATGTCCTTTTGCCTTCTGATTCTTCCTGATAAGTACCATAGCAAACTCAAATCTGAGCATAACTCCTATTTATTTTACCTTATGCTTCAGTGTAAGGTTCATCAATTAACTTGCAGATCAGAGAATGGTTTTTGTCTTGAGACAAAGGGGCACAAAATCACAAAATGGGATATAGAAACTTTTATAAGAAGTTTTAAGTAATGTTAAGTTTGATGGCTTTGTAACAGTAGCAATGGAAAATTACTGAGGTGCAGGATACATAGAGAAAAAAAAACAGAGTACAACTAGAGAACATACTAAGAATTCTCACAAGATAAATCGTTATAGTTGGCCTAGTTTTAAGAAAAACAGTCTAGAAGAACAGGACACAGGGATAAGGAGTATCTGGGAATGGCAGGTGTCCAGGATGGGCTACAGTTAAACTAACTGATAAGTAGGAGGATAGGAGGATTATTATGTCTCTGGTGCTAACGAACCAATTAAACTGGTATGAGCATCTACTGCGCGTGCTTCAAAGGCTGCCAGAAGTGATGAAGATTGTTGGAAGAAGTAACCGACCCTCAGAGACCACCACCACAATTCTGTACGCATGCGGGGAACTCTCTGGAAAATGATGTAATCCATACGTAGCCTCATGAATATGTATGTATGCCCAGTGACTATATAAGGGTGGCTTGTATAGCAGTACGGGGACACACGTTAGGAGGATTTATCCCCCGTGTCTCCCGGCGCCGCAATAAAGAATACCTGCTTGTCAGCTTGAAAACTTTGTTGGCAAGTTTGTTCCTGGAGTTTTCTCCGAATCAGTCTGTTAATGGAGATGTCAATTCTTTACCTAGCAAAGACTAAGATAAGCACCATTTAATGGAAATTTGGTCTATATTTTGACATGAAGATATCTGGTAATACTGAAATTGTCCATGGTCTCTTCAGAACTTACTTGGCTGTAGGAAGGTGTGATGCGTGTATTACTGTGCATCACTGCCTGAAGGGGGTAAGAGTTTCTATATATAAAATTGGGTCATGCAGTCCTGATGTCCTAAGACACTCGGATCCCACAAAGGAAAATTTCTTGGGGATAGGCACAGTGACTTCCACTGTTTTGTGCTCCAGTCCTCCCTCCAGCCCCCCAGATTTGAATAAATCTAGTTTCTGTACTAGATTCAGGCAGAGGGCAACCTTACTCAGTATCAGTCTATTCTATACATTGAAAACTTCTGATACTTACAGATGAAGCTTCCTTTTCATCAAGAGAATAGGCTTAGATCCTTTAATAACAGACTTTTAAGACATGACCTCCTTTCTTTTAAGATATGGCCTCGCTTCTCTAGTGTATTGTTTTCTTACATGAGGAAGGAGGCTTTTTTGTAATATGAAACAGTTCTATTTCTGGTGTAACACCTGAAAACTGCCTTGTACAGCAACACCATTGTCTTTGAATAGTTCATTTTGAATGTGTCATGCTGCGAGGCGTAATTCTTAGAAAATAGACTGTGCTGTACTTGTGTCAAGCTAACCCAACTTTTCCAATGGTTAACGCTCATCTTGAAAAGACTATTCCTTCCTCAACTTCAGGTCATTTGGGGTGAACGCTTTCCTTTGTCATCCTCATAACACTCCACCCAAAGACCTAATGAAGGCTTCTGGAAGGAAAAGGTGAGGGTGTTACTTCATACAGGTCAAGCTTTTCTCTTTGGCAAAACTAAACAAAGAGCAAGAGTGGCACTATCTGATCAGCCAGCCCATGAATTGAGGGTAACTCAGGAGTTGAAGTGAGAAAAGGGAGCAGAATATTTTGGGGGTGATTTTTCCGTAAGTGATGCAAGTACTTGAACGTTCTTGAAACTTGATTGGTGCTGTGAGAGAAGAAAAGCAGAAGTACTTGAATGAAACGTGCTTGCTTCGGTCTCTACAAAGCCAGTTAAGGTGTGCTGCCAGCGCCAGCAGAACTCCCAGGAGATGGCGCTGGGACACTGCCCGAGGTGGCGAGTCTCGCCGCTGAGAACTTCAGCTGCTAGGCTTGGAGGGACAGAAGTGATCTACTTTGTTTTAAACTAATCCACTTTTCATCCCATTTAGCCAAGCTTCATAAAAAAGTTCAGAATGGAGCATTGCTGGACTATTTTCTTGGAAAAATCCTAGTTCTCCAGATCTTTTTTCGTGCTACAATGATGTTACCCA